GGTCTCTTCTACACTGCCATAAAAAATTCAGATTATTTGCTTTGAACTGGGTTATATGGCAGTGTAGATTAATGTAATCCAGTTCAAAGCAGATAATATGGATGATTTGTCTTGATAATCTGGATTATATGACAGTGTAGAAGGGGCCTTAGTGAGTTTATGACATTTAGTGTTAATTCAGGTAGGTGTTGTCTGTACTAAAAAAAAAAAAGGACATTTACCCAAACCACATATATTTCAAGTCATACAATTAACTGAGACTCAGGGCCCTTCCACACAGCCATGTAACCCAGAATATCAAGGCAGAATATCCCACTAACTGCTTTGAACTGGGTTATCTGAGTCTACACTGCTATATATTCCAGTTCAAGGCAGATAATGTGGGTTTTTATTCAGCTGTGTGGAAGAGGCCACAGTGAAAAGGTATTAGGGTGTGAATGAGAGAGAATGAATGGAAGCCATAAAACAACACGGCACAAAATATACATGGCACAAAGTTTCCCTCCTGCTGAAACAGATCTGTTTATCAAACATAGAATCATAGAATCATAGAGTTGGAAGAGACCTCATGGGCCATCCAGTCCAACCCCTCACCAAGAAGCAGGAATATTGCATTCAAATCACCCCTGACAGCTGCCCATCCAGCCTCTGTTTAAAAGCTTCCAAAGAAGGAGCCTCCACCACACTCCGGGGCAGAGAGTTCCACTGCTGAACGGCTCTCACAGTCAGGAAGTTCTTCCTAATGTTCAGATGGAATCTCCTTTCTTGTAGTTTGAAGCCATTGTTCCATGTCCTAGTCTCCAGGGAAGCAGAAAACAACCTTGCTCCCTCCTCCCTGTGACTTCCTCTCACATATTTATACATGGCTGAGACAATTTGCAAGTACAGGACCTGGAACTTTTATCAGTGAATCAATGTATTTGGCAGTCAGCTCAAAGAATCTAAGATGAATGCCAAATATTAATCATTGTTTCAGAGTTCTAGAAAGTAAACATGCTCGGTAAAACTTCCTTTCCAAAAGTAACATATGTTAGAAAAGTAACAGTTAGTACTTTACACAGATAAGTGTTATTTTGTCACTTTCTCACAGCTCTCATTCTCTAGGAATCTGAAAACAAGTGCTGTGAAAAATAAAAATAAAAGGATCTGGGTTTTTCTTTTTTGAGTCTTCTCAGTATACAGAATGATTTTCCTTCTCCTTCTTTGAGTAGTCTCTTCATATTTAGAAGTTTACAACAACATAATGCACTCTGCCCATGGGCATGCTTTTAATGTTACCCCATCCAACAGGGGTGGAAGCAAAACAACTTACTTGTGCTTGAAGTCATCAGCTGCCAGTCTGGCATTATCAATTTCTAGGAGCAGCCTCATGTTCTCCATATTGAGATCTTCCACCTGTCATTCATGGAAATAGGCATTTCTGTGTCAGTAATGGATACAAGTGGCATAGTGGTATGAGTATTGGACTAACCCTGTGGTATGAGTATTGGACTAACTCTTGACCATAGAAACACGCTGGGCGACCTTGGGGATGTCATACATGCTCAGTACCTGTTGATCTTAGGGTTGCCATAACTCAGAAAGGATTGGAGGCACAAAACAACAAACTGATATAAGGTGCCACTCTATGAAAATAACAGTAAGTTATGCTTATATTCAATTCCAGTAAACTGCGCTTAGAACTAGTGCTTCAAATTGAGAGATCTCCCAGTGCTCTTTCAAGTTTGGAAGTAATTTTAAAGCAGTGGTTCCCAATCTTTTTTGACCAGGGACCACTCTCCAACATCAGTACCAAAAGTGTTTCAAAACTGTTTTTGGTCAACTTTAGATACAGTTTGGTTATTTCGTGTGCTGATTCAGAAAATTAAATTGGATAGACCACATCAGCTCTATTTTCTGATACAGAACATATGCTATCCAGTAGTCGCCATCTGTTTACCCACAGAAAACCATATTTAGTAAGTCTCAGCACTATAAGAGGGTTTTGCAAGACAAGTTGCTGTCTTTGCAATGGTGTAGTAACAGTGAGGACATGGACCATATTTTAGTTCTTGTGGGCCACTGGTGGTCCATGGACCACAGGTTGGGAACCATTGCTTTAAAGGACACCCCAAGTTGACTCTTTTGAGAAGCACATAGAGGGGAGGGGGGGGAACAAGAAAAAGTTGTGCAAGGAAGGGTATGCTTGAGTAGGTTACTCAAGGATACCAGCATGAAAAACTCAGCCATCAACCAAACTGATTGGCTTTCTGAACAACTGGGATTATGAGTTTGGTAAAACTGAATTTTATTTGAAGGATGACTCAGGCCCCTTTTACACTGCCATGTAATTCAGATTTTAAAGAAAATAATCCACATTATCTGCTCTGAATTGGATTATATGAAACTACACTGCTGGCCACATAACCTTGGAGGCATCTATGGACAACGTCTGCTCTTCGGTTTAGAAATGCAAATCAGCACCACCCCCAAGAGTCAGACATGACTAGATTTAATCTCAAGGGGGAACCTTTACCTTTACCTACACTGCTATATAATCCAGAATCCAGTTCAAAGCAGACAATCTGGATTTTATTTGGCAGTGTAGAAGGGGCCTCAGAGACCAAAATGATGTGATTTTCCCAGCAAAATTATTATAGCTTCAATTTCAAAGAGTGTCTTTGTCTTCCTTGCCTAGTGTTTGGACAGGCAAACAAACTGCTTGAGGAAATTACTCTAGAAAGGCTTGTTTGTTTTCAGGAAAGGGAGGGAGCTGGTGGGTTCTTTACAAAAACAGTCAGACTTTGTCAATAAAGCTGTCAAAAGGCAGTGCATTAAAAAAAGAAAGACGAGTGTGGGAAAAGCAAAGGTGTTTGGCAAGGGCTTTGCTTGCTTTCTGGGATGCTACAAAAATGTTGGTGAGGGCAGGAAAGCAAGGTGGTGACAGCAGTGGTGACTACAGATTCCTTCTCAGAAGGAAGCGTGGGGTCGTGTTGTGCCAGGCAGCTAAACTTGGATTGGGAGTAATGAGGTGGAAGGAAGGGAAAATAACAAGGTCTTCTGCACTTAAGCAGAAGGGTGGAAAGGAAAGAACCTGAGGTTATTAGGAATTGTGGGAGTTGGAGTCCAAAACACCAGGAGGATTGAAATTTGCCCAGGTCTGCACTAGAGAGTAAGTTCCAAGTCTAGGAGAAGCCACTGTGAAGGCCCATTGTTCGCACCAAATGAGCCTGAGGTGGAGAAAAGGGCCTCTCCAGGTTATTTCAGTGTTTTAAGGGGCTTATAGAGAGAGAGATACTGTACATTTCTTCAAAGAACTTGGTTTGAGAGCGTTGAACAAATAACTAACACAATGTTTCTCCAGGTGTTTTGGACTTCAGCTCCCAGAAATCCCAGCCAGTTCACCTGCTGTTAGGAACTGTGGAAGATGAAGTCCAAGACACCTGGAGGAGAACAGTTTGAGAAACTTTGAACTAATGGCTGTAATCCATTCTGATCTTACTCAGATATTAAAATGCACTCAGGCATTGCAATTATTTAGATTTAGATTTTGGACTTCTCTTGGCAAATGTTCAAGCCTAAATAGGAATGTATACCTGTTCATTTACGAGCCTGTGACATACCCTGCGTGCAGTCCTGTTATCTGTTCATATCATATCCCACTTGGGGAGATAAAGTGGGGTATAAATAAATAAGACCTTGGAGGCATCTACAAACAATGTCGGCTCTTTGGCTTAGAAATGGAGATGAGCACCAACCTCCAGAGTCAGACATGACTAGACTTAATGTCAGGCAAAACCTTTGCCTTTACCTTTAATCTATTGTTTTAATGGGTTTATTTTTTTCTAAGCTGCCCAAAGATCCTTTTGATATAGGGAAGAATAGAAATATTTTAAGAGAGCCAGCATGGTATAGTGGTTTGAACATTGGGCTATGACTCTGGACATCAGAGTTTGTTTAAGGGAACGGCACTCCATGCAGTCATGCTGGCCACATGACTTTGGAGGCGTCTATGGACAACGCCCGGCTCTTTGGCTTAGAAATGGAGATGAGCACCAACCCCCAGAGTCAGACATGACAAGACTTAATGTCAAGGGGAAACCTTTACCTTTATTGTCCTGCCTCCAACAACAATAACAAACCAGGGGCTTTGGACTTCAACTCCCACCATTCCTAACAGCCTCAGGCCCCTTCCTTTCCCCCCTCAGCCGCTTAAGCGGCTGGGGGGAAAGGAAAGGGCCTGAGGCTGTTAGGAATGATGGGAGTTGAAGTCCAAAGCCCTTGGAGGGCCCAAGTTTGTCCATGCCTAGTTGAGAGGTCCCCCCACCTCCCAGGCCCGCTCCCCACCTGCTTCCTCAGCTCGGCCAGAGGCCTCTCGCAGGCTTCCCAGTCCTTGTGTCCTCGGGCCTCGGCCCGGCGCGCGCGGATAGCGGAGATCTCCCCCTCCAGGGCCCGGTTGGCGGCCTCCAGCCCCCGCACCCGCTGCAGGTACCCGGCCAGGCGCTCGTTGAGCCCCTGCAGCGCCTCCTGCTGCCTCCCGGGGCCCAGCAAGATGGACGAGGCGTCGGCGCTGATCCGGGCCGCGGGGAGCGCCGCCCGCAGCCGGGACACGGAGAACCAGGAGTCCGACCCGCTGGAGCTGTTGCCCCGCACCGAGCCCGCCGAGGAGGAGGAGGAACCCGGCAGCCAGCGCTGGGAGCCCGCGGATAAGGAGCCGCTGCGAGGCCGGGAAGCGGAGAAAGCCATGCTGATGGGTGATGCTTGGTACCCAGTGGGCGCTTTTATAGCGTCCGCATTTGCATGCCAGCCAATCGCAGCGTTTGGAATACTCGGATGGGGGAAAGGGCGGCCAATGGGAACAACTCGTTGGTCATTCCAATCCAAACTTTGACAAACTTTCCCGGCTATCATTTACACCTAAGACAGAATGGAAGGCGCACGCCTCTGTGATTGGTCGGTGCTCTCCCTTACAGGCACGCCATTGGATGGGCTTGGCTGGAGGGGCGGGGCAGTGTGGGTGAGATGTTTTGGAAGGGGGATTCGGCAGGTGGGGAAAGGTGGAGCCTCTGGCTCTCCTTGGTCTTAAATAGGAGCTTCTCCCCGGGCGGCGGCGCCTTCCCAGCGTTGTCTTTGGGGACTTCCAGCATGAGCCTCGCCTATCCCCGCGCGGGGAGCCTGAGCTTCAGCAGCCGCTCCCAGGGCTCCCTGCCCAACCGGAGCTCTTGGTACCGGGCCAGCCCGGGGGCCTTCCCGCCGGGCCTCTTCCGAGGGGCTGGGGCCGGCGGCGCTTCCCTCTCGGCCTCGCCCGCTTTCCTCATCTCCTCGCTGCCCAGCCTGGAGATCGACCCCAAACTGCACCAGATCCGCACGGAGGAGAAGGAGCAGATCAAGGGGCTCAACAACCAGTTCGCCTCCTTCATCGACAAGGTATTGGCCCTTCATGTCTCAGAGGGAGAGAGAGGAACAGGCAGAGGGCGCATCCACACAGGGTAGACCGGATGCGGCTTGGCACTTGCCATGGCTCAAGGCCAGGCAAGGCAAGTAGGGGGGGGGGGGGGGGGCTGGAGGGGCTTCAGCCCCCCCCCCCCGAAATTCTCATGGTGGTTCGCGAAAAGGCCTTACTGGTGCATTATTTAAACTGTTATGTTTATTCATATCATGATCTGATCACCATACTCAATATATCCCATATGCATGGGGGTATTGGGGTAATGATACAAAAGGTTTGCTAGGGTACTCTCTCTTTCATTCAGACTCAGCCCCCCCCCCGAAACCAGCCCCCCCCCCCCCGAAAAAACTCAGCCTATTTCTACCCAAATTACAGTTACAGGGAGATGCTACCATAATAATAATCGTCATCATAATCATCATCATCTTTATTTATATCCCGCCACCATCTCCCCGAAGGGGACTCGGGGCAGCTCACATGAGGCCAAGCCCAAAAATAAAATACAGTAAAATAAAATACAAAACAACAGAAAACATTACATCAGAACAAAATACATAAAATAACAGAATGAAATAAACAGTGCAAAATAACATAATAAAAATCAAACACAAAGGGCGGAATCAGGGAAGTTGCACTTTGATGAGGATCCAGCACTCTTTGGCAAAGAAGGCTAAAGACCTTGTAAAACTACAACTCCCAGGATCCCATAGCATTGAGCAATTGCCATTAAAGTGGGCTCAAGCTGCATTCATTTTGCAGTGTAGATGCACCTTGATATAAAGGGAGGGAGAGTGACGCAGAGCTTAGACAGACTGAGAGAGAGAGATACAAAGGAACAGACAGGGACACACACACACACACAAAGAGAGTCAATCAGAGACAAATAGACAAAGAGGAAGAGGAAGAAGGAAAAAGAGGCAGGCAGAAGAACCCTTTCATCTAACCAGTGGTTCTCAACCTTTTTGTTACCAGGGACCACTTTGACCAAGGGTCCTCAAACGTTTTAAACAGAGGGCCAGCTCACAGTCCCTCAAACTGTTGGAGGGCCAGATTATAATTTGAAAAAAACATGAATGAATTCCTATGCACACTGCACATACCTTATTTGTAGTGTAAAAACACTTTAAAACAATACAATAATTAAAATGAAGAACAATTTTAACAAATATAAACTTGGGTTGCTGTAGGTTTTTTCAGGCTACATGGCCATGTTCTAGAGGCATTTTCTCCTGACATTTTGCCTACATCTATGGCAGGCATCCTCAGAGGTAGTGAGGTCTGCTGGAACTAGGAAAATGGGTTTATATATCTGTGGATTGACCAGGGTGGGACAAAGAACTCTTGTCTGTTGGAGCTAGGTGTGAATGTTTCAACTGACCACCTTGATTAGCATTTTATGGTCTGGCAGTGCCTGGGGCAATCTTTTGTTGAGAGGTGATTAGAAGTCCCAGATTGTTTCTTGTCTGTTGTTTTGCTGTTGTAATTTTAGAGTTTTTTAATACTGGTAGCCAGATTTTGTTCATTTTCATGGTTTCCTCCTTTCTGTTGAAATTGTCCACATGCTTGTGGATTTCAGTGGCTTCTCTGTGCAGTCCGCAATGGTGGTTATGAGAGTGGTCCAGCATTTCTCAAATAATATGCTGTGTCCAGGTTGGTTCATCAGGTGCTCTGCTATGGCTGACTTCTCTGGTTGAAGTAGTCTGCAGTGCCTTTCATGTTCCTTGATTCATGTTTGGGCAATGCTGCGTTTGGTGGTCCCTATGTAGACTTGTCCACAGCTGCATGGTATACGGTAGACTCCTGCAGAAGTGAGAGGATCCCTCTTGTCCTTTGCTGAACGTAGAATTTGTTGGATTTTCTTGGTGGGTCTGTAGATAGTTTGTATGTTGTGTTTCCTCATCAGCTTCCCTATGTATGGCAAGAACACTTTTCCTCTGGGTGGATCTTTGTCTTGACTCTCGTGGCTTGTTCTCAGTCTTGCTGCTCTTCTGATGTCTGAGGTGGAGTCTCCATTAGCCTGTAAAGCCCAGTTTAGGTGGTTCAGTTCATCTTGGAGGAGATGGGGTTCACAGATCAACAATTGGGTCACACTGTCTACAGAAAACCCACACACACGGATAGATATCTACATAAAAACTCCAACCATCACCCAAGTAAAAAAGAAACACCATTAAAGCCTTGGCAGACTGTGCAAAAAGAATCTCAAACCCCACCTCCTCCAAGATGAACTGAACCACCTAAACTGGGCTTTACAGCCTAGATGGATCTTTAATTGGTTAAATGGATGAACCCAGAGGGTGCTCACCAATGCTTCCTCTTCATCCTGGAAAGAAGTGATGAGTGGAGTGCCGCAGGGTTCTGTCCTGGACCCGGTCCTGTTCAACATCTTTATTAATGACTTACATGAAGGGTTAGAAGGCATGATCATCAAGTTTGCAGATGACAGCACATTGGAAGGGATGGCCAATACTCCAGAAGACAGGAGCAGAATTCAAAGCAACCTTAACAAATTAGAGAGAATATTGGCCAAAACTAAGAAAATGAAGTTCAACAGGGACAAATGCAAGATACTCCACTTAGGCAGAAAAAAATGAAATGCAAAGATGCAGAATGAGGGACGCGTGGCTCAAGAGCAGTATGTGTGAAAAAGATCTTGGAGTCCTCATGGACAGGAAGCTAAACATGAGCCAACAATGTCCTGTGACGGCTTTAAAAGCCAATGGGATTTTGGCCTGCATAAATAGGAGTCTAGTGCCTAGATCCAAGGAAGTCATGCTAGCGCTCTATTCTGCCTTGGTCAGACCACACCTGGAATCACACTGTGTCCAATTCTAAGCAGGACAATTGAAGGGAGATGTTAACAAACTGGATTGTGTCCAGAGGGCAACTAAAATGATGAAGGGTCTAGGGAGCAAGCCCCATAAGGAGCAGCTTAAAGAGCTGGGCATGTTTAGCCTGCAGAAGAGAAGGCTGAGAGGAGACATGATGAAGGCCATGTATAAATATGTGAGGGAAAGTCATAGGGAGGAGGGAGCAGGCTCGTTTTCTGCTGCCCTGGAGACTAGGATGTGGAACAATGGCTTCAAACTACAGGAAAGGAGATGCTACCTGAACATTAGGAAAAACTTTCTCACTGTGAGAGCTGATCAGCAGTGGAACTCTGCTCCAGAGTGTGGTGGAGGCTCCTTCTTTGGAAGCTTTTAAACAGAGGCTGGATGGCCATCTGTCGGGGGTGCTTTGAATACGATTTTCCCACTTTTTGGCAGGGGGTGGACTGGATGGCCCATGAGGTTTTTTCCAACTCTATGATTCTATCATTCTATGAAATCCTTCTGAACTAATCATGTCAAAAAAACAAACCCTATGATAGAATCTGTTTAGAATTGCCATAATTCAGAAATGAAGGCAAATGATGCATGCACACACATATATTTATAACCAGTCCAACAAAGGAAGATCAAGTGCTCTTAGCCCTGAACTCAAGCACAAACGGTTTGATTTTGTTGCAAACACAGTGTTGATCCCTCCTGAGTCAACAGCACAAGCACATCATCTGAAGAAACATTTCACAATGTTCTAGTAATTTTTAGCATTCCCATACCAGACAGGAGTGTTTTATATACAACTAAATTTTACAGAGAAATGAAGGATTTAAATTGGCCGTCTTCAACCGAGTTCCTTCCAGATGCAAGCCAACTCTCCTTGTACCTATCTTGTATATGCTGGGAGCAGGGTGATGAGAACTGCAATTCAGTCAATAAGAAGAACACCCTATAGGGAAAGTCAGATTAAAGGCTTCTTGTATTTAACACAACTTCTCATGCGGAAGAGGAAATTTATCTCCTTTGCAAAATAAGCTGTCCTTTTCCACATTCCCTGATCCAGAGGCAGAAGAACTATACACCTTATTCTACAAGCATTTTGGCATTTTAAACTAAAGTTGTATTTTAAAATTTTGTAAGTTGCTTTGAGTTCCTTAGCAGGAGAATAGCAGCATATAAGTGGAATAAATAAAATATTTACTTTGGATAGGTCTTTCAGCCAATTGTTTCTGTGCACTCTAATGCACACTGCAGTTTTCTTGCAAATATCAGGGATTATTATATGGGTAGGTTATAAAAGAAGATTCATGCAGAAATCCACTAGACAAATGAATCCAGAAATTTTCTAAGATATGGTAAAACTTCCAAAAAGGAATGCTTTAGGTGTCTACTCCCCACAGCACTGGAGAAAGTATACTGTTCAGCCAATATTGCATCACCTGACATCCTCTGGGAAGAAGCAGCCAATAATGAAAGGACCAAGGCAGTGACATGTCCTGTCCACCCTCTGTTCAGATATCAGCCAGCATGCCAATGCCTTAAATCAAGAAACAGCTTCCTAAGATCTATGATACTCACAGGAACACCTCCGCAAGCGAGAGTCCAAAAGTGGCAGGCTAAAACCCAGAACCTCAATCAGTGGCCAATACCAAATGAGAAAATCACCCCTGGGCACACAAAAGACTGGGTGACTTGGAAGACACTGAACAGGCTGTGCTCTGGCACCACGAGGTGCAGAACCAATCTTCAGAAATGGGGCTACAAAGTGGAGCCCACAACACACAAGTGTGGAGAAGAGCAAACCACAGACCACCTATTACAACTCAGCCTGAGCCCTGCCACGTGCACAATGGAGAACCCTCTTATAGCAACACCAGTGGCCAGCTACTAGTCAAAGGACATTTTGTATCATGCCATGTTTTTAACTTTATGCCACACTTTGTTTGTGTTTTTAAATACAACTGTATCCTCAATTTGCTTCCGACACAATAAATAAATAAATAGTTTCTGGAAAAAAATCCTTTGAATGAGTGAAACAGCATTACAACTAATCTCCAGGATGTCGGGTGTTTTTGTCAGCTTTGCCCAATAGATTGTATATTTACCTCAAATATCTGTATGCTTCAAATCTGTATATAAATATGATGTGAGATACTTACGGCCCAAACCTCACTTTTGAATGAACAATGAAATAAAGAAGTCTTACGCCCCCTGGTGGAGAAATGTGTCAAATAGAAAAGGCTGTGCTTTTACAAATGGTTTGGCTGAGCTCCCTCAAATCTAAAATCTTAGTTCAAATGAAAAAGGCATGCAGTGCCCTCCAACCCACAGCAAGTTTTCTGATGTTCTTTATGGTTTCCTGCTTTAAAGTGAGTGATTTGGAATAGGAATGGGGGAGGGGGGAGCTATGCATGCTCTCACTCCAATTTAACACATGTGTGAAATCAATTCCTTCAGTGTTTCTGTAATGCCAGTTCATATGGCAATAGAAATACTTAAACTGCACAACTTTTGGCCCTTCGGGTGCTTTGGACTGCAGCTTCCAGAATTCCTAGTAAACGGAACAACTGCTAGAGCTTCTGGGAGGAAGAGGCCCAAACAACTGGAGTGCCCCAAGTTGTGCAGTCATCGTTTTTTTGCTGAGTTTTTTTTTTCCATATCAGGAGTGACTTGAGAAACTGCAAGACACTTCTGGTGTGAGAGAATTGGCTGTCTGCAAGGAAATTGCGCAGGGGACGCCTGGATGGTTTTAAAAAAAATGTTTTTATGTTTTACCATCCTGTGAGATGCTTCTCTCATGTCCCCGCATGGGGAGCTGGAGCTGACAGAGGGAGCTCATCCATGCTCTCCCCTCTGACCTGTTGGTCTTCAGTCCTGCCAGCACACCACTGGCTCCTAGTCTTGATCTACACTAACCATATAATGCAGTGTAGATCCAGCCTCAGAAACCTTTTGGCTGGGGCACTGCCTAGCTTAAGAGGTAGGCTTTTGTGGGGTAGCATTGGCAGAGGCAGCCACAACAGTGGAGTTATCTTCTTGCAGCTACATCTGCCAATATGTATTCTTGGCCAATAAAGTGAGAACACTGGCATTACTCATTTCATGCTGGTGTATGTGCATGCAGGTAGAAGGCCAGCCTTACCACAAACCAATGCACAAGAGCAGTGGCCGTTAAATATATCAGTTCCTTCCATTGGCCATTTGCACAGGTTGGATTTCTGAAGAATGCATTCAACTCAGAATTATGAGTTCTTCCAGAGTGGCTTTTAAGGACTGCCCACAATAGCATGGAAGTCCAGTACAAGGTGAATCATGGAAAAGCATGTCTTATAATAGTACTCATGCTACATTATTATTTCTCTTTTTGCTTTCTATTTTCTAAGGTGCGGAAACTTGAGCAGCAAAACAAAGCGCTGGAAACACAGCTGAGGCTTCTGAAAAGCAAAGATCAGTACAAATCCAATGTGGGACGCATCATGACAGCCCACAGCCAGCCCCTGAAGCAGCAAATTGATGTACTGAATCAGGACAAGGTGAAGTTGCAAAACGAACTGGACCACACTCAGGCCCTTCTGGAGGAACTGAAGAGTAGGTAGGTTTTGGAGGGGCCAATGAGGTGCCCTTACCAAAAGTGTTTGTGTGGTGTTTCCCATTACACTCCACACATGGACTCTCCTCTCTCTGACCTGTAGGTATGAAGATGAAATCAATCGGCGCAATCAGCTGGAAAATGAATTTGTGATCACTAAGAAGGTGAGTCCAAGACATGGAAATAACGTTGATGCCCAAAAGAAATTGATAGGAGAGCATCCTTCCACCACACCTCTAACTCCACCTCCACCACTTACAGCAGAATATGTGCAATGGTGAAAGGTGTCTATCTGTCTGTCATAGCACATGTCCTTGAACACATATCTTGCATTTATGATGTCCTGCTTTATGATTGGATTTTTGACATCTGCTCCAGAAGTTCAAGAGATTGCTATGAGCCTTCCTTTTACTATCTATGTTCAATTGCCTCCTGTATGCTATATGCTTATCTTGCTTCCATTGTGGGTTTGGTGTAATGACGCCTTTTAACTTTTCAATGCCTTTCAACTTTTCTATGTGAAATGAAAGGAGGCTACCATTTTATCCTTTTCCTCAGGTAGTACCCCACTTTGGATTGGCTTCCCCAATGAAAAATTGTTCCCATAAGTCTGGTGACCATGTCTGTTCTTTTGTAGGATCTTGATGACATCTATTTGCAGAAGGTGGATGTGGAGTCCAAAGTCGAAGGGATCTCCAATGAAATCAAATACCTCAAGCAGCTCTTTGAAGAGGTGGGTTCCAGGTGGGAAGAACTGTGATGACAGTGGTAATTATAAGTGATTTTTTTTTTCATGTCAGAAACAACTTGAGAAACTGCAAGTTGCTTCTGGTGTGAGAGAACTGGCCATCAGCAAGGACATTGCCCAGGGGATGCCCAGATGTTTTACAACCTTTGCAGGAGGCTTCCCTCTTGTCCTCTCATGGGGAGCTGGAGCTGACAGAGGGAACTCAGCCTACTCTTCCCAGATTGGAACCTCTGCCCTGTCAGTCATCAGTCCTGCCAGCACGAGGGTTTATTTAACCCATTTCACCACGGGGGCTCCTTTTATAAATGATGAACGTGGAAGGGATATTCTTCTCTCACTTCCATCTCTAAGTCAGCAAACTCTCAGAGGAGCATTGTAGGAAGGTAAATAAATGCAAGACCTGGACTTATCCATAACATTATCCAGTTTCCCATCTGAACTATTCTGGAATTCCACCTTCCCTTGCCATTTAGTTATGTGTATTCTTTCTCTATCCCCATCCAGGAGATCCGTGAATTACAATCTCAGATTCAAAATGCAATGGTCACTGTGGAGATGGACAACAACCGGGAGTTGGAGATGAAACACATAATTGATGAGGTGAAAGAACAGTACAAGGCTATGGCAGTCAAAAGCCGTGAGGATGCCGAGCAATGGTACAAGAACAAGGCAAGTTTTGTTTCCATTAGCATGCATTCATATCATGATAGCACATTTCATACATGCATATGTGCACACGCACATACAGAAGTACATGTACATTCCCACACATTGGTGGCACATACTCCATTTTGTTCTTCCTCTTCTTTCAGATGATAATTCAAATGATCTTATCGTAATATATTCAGTGTGAATAAAAACATAACTGAAAATATAAACAAACCTATTTGATGGTAAATTTTAATCAATTCTGTAACAATGAGATTCTTACCAGTATTTCCTGACTAATATCTCTCTCTGTGCCAGGGCAGAGCTTTGAATGATGCTCTCACTTAATCGAAAAGGGTTCAAGTTACCACTCAATCAAGTCCTCATGACAATATAGGCAATCCTAAATCATCATTTAATATTAGCGAGATGGGCATTCGTCTTCTCTCTTCTTTTTATTCGAAAATGTTAAAATATAAACTTAAAACATTATTGTAATATCTCATCCTTGCTTATATCTTATCTAAGTTTCCTTTTCTACTGTAGTGGTACAGGTTTTGGAATATCTAGACATAGTTAAGAAAATTCATCACAGCTACTCTTGCTGCCCAAGATAATTTAAGTGTCACCCACCTTCACATCTGTTTCCATACTTTATATCAAATTGATATGATTTGGGTTTTACTCCCTCATCCTTATGTCTTATGGCAGTTCAAGTGCAAATATTTTGCTCCTCTCAGTATTCTATTATTTATGGAATTATTAACATTCAATATTCCATACAGTGTAAATGTTTGATCATAAATATTGAATGTTAACAACTCAGCTTTTCCAGACAATTAATAATGAAATACCTGACTTGTTTTAAATGAACTTTAAAAAGAATGGCTGAATTCTTGACATAGCGATGACAATTTCTTGTGTGCCTTCTAGTTGTTTCCTACTTACGTCAATTCTAAGATGAGTTTGATAGCTGAATGGAATTCAAACCCATTTTTTGTGTCAGGAGCCAATTGAGAAACTGCAAATTGCTTCTGGTGTGAGAGACTTGGCCGTGTGCAAGGATGCTGCCCAGGGGATGCCCGGATATTTTACCATCCTGTGGAAGGCTTCTCTCATGCCCCCGCATGGGAAGCTGGAGCTGACATATGGGAGCTCACCCCGCTCCCCGGATTTGAATCACTGACCTTTTGATCAGCAGTCCTGATGGCACAAATGTTTAACTCATTGTGTCACCGGTAACCCCAAACCCAAATTAAAACGACATCATGCTGGCACTCAACAATGGCAACTACTTCACCTTTATTAAAATTTGGGAGGCCTCTAGCTGAATATTCATGGCTCAATGTAACCAATAAGACAAGTGAAACATTCTTTGTGATGAGTCTTGACCTGTGCTGCTGTACATAGCATGCTAATAACCCCATTGGGTAAACTCTCCCAATAATTCTTCCCTTTATCCACCAGTTTGATGACATGGCAAGACAGACCCAGAAGCACCACGAAGAGCTGAAAGGGACCAAGGGGCAAATTGCTGAACTGACTCGCTACGCCCAGCGTATCAATGGGGAAATTGAGGCCTTGAAGAATCAGGTAATTTTTAGCCAAGATACTGGGCATGAATGAAATGCTGTAGAGACTGGCAAGGCTGGAGTTCCCAGTAGGCAGAGTGAAGCATCTGATTTTGTCTACAAATGAAGGGCAGTAAATTGTTCTTTATTTTGTTTTTATTTAAAACTTTCCATATAATTTTTGTTAGTATGATATGGCCATCCTTGAATATATAGGTTGAATATCTTTTATCTGAAATGCCTGGGACTTCATATACATCTTATACACATAGTCTGAAGGTAATTTAATACAGTAGTTTAGATAGTTTTATGTATCAACAAACTCTGTGTACATTGAACTATCAGAAAGTAAAGATGCTACTATGTCAGCCACCCAGGTTGCCAATTTTTTTAGTATTTCAGATTTTGGGATTCTGGATAACAACTGTTCAAGCTGTATGAGATATATATGCTGGATTTGGTATCACAAAATCACAAGTCGAACACTTCCCAAGCGTTTAGGACTGTGTGATATTTATTATTATTATTATTATTATTATTATTATTATTATTATTATTTATTATTAAGGAATTAGTCCTATTTCTTCCTAATCTTCTTGAAATTCTTCTTCTGCCATATGTAAACAGGCAGGGGGGTTGCAGGAGAGATGTAAACAGCTATGGTGTAGCTGCCATCAGGTATTTAGTGAATGGTGAGGGGCAAGCTGCTAGGGATGCTGGAAGTAGGATTGGGTGGGGGTGCCTAATTTTGAACTGTATTGCATTTTAATTTGTGCACTTTGTGACACAAATATTTAATTTTTTAATTTTTATATTCATAATTGCATATATTTGCTTATTTTAAAGTTATATTGTATTGTTTCATGTTCACTGTTAGCTGCGTTGAGTCCCTATATCATGAGAAAGGTGAGATAAAAATTGAGGAAATAAATAAATAAGAATAGTCAGGGTCTTCTCCATCATACTTTGTTGACTGTCATGTGCCAGGGCTTTGTCTCTCTCTTAGGACTTCATCAGATCAGTCTTCTCTCCATTTTTTCTATGCTGCTGAAACAAGGTCCCATGGAGGCCATCACATGACATAAGGCCACTTCTGGTGGGACTGTGGGACTCCCTTTCCACTCTGCAGAGAAGCAGAGCTCGGAATGCCTTTTGAGGAGTTGGGTGGGAGGGAAAGGCGTGGGATGACAGAAGATGGACTTCAATGGGACCGAATGGAGTTCCTCTGCTTTCCCCTGCTTCCCCTGCCCCCTCACTCATAGGATGTGTCTGATGAAGTCCTTATTGATTGCAGTAGGTTTTCCAAGAAGCTTCACTCCAAACAAAAATGCAAATCCACATTTTTTTCGCCGTTCTCATGCTCAGAGAGCCAACCTGGAGAATGCTGTGGCAGTGGCTGAAGAGCAAGGGGAGCATGCTGTACAAAATGCCAAAGCCAGTATCCAAGACCTGGAAGAGGCACTGAGGCGAGCCAAGCATGACATGGCAGGGAAAGTACGAGACTACCAAGAGCTGATGAACATCAAGCTGGCTCTTGATATTGAAATTGCCACATACAGGAAACTGCTGGAAGGGGAAGAGAATAGGTAAGACAGAGGCTCCAACTGTGGACAAACCTGCTGTGAATGGGTGGCGTATTGTTATGCATCAGCTCACAAAATGCCAGCAAGGAAAAAAATGTGAAGAGACTGTCCCACTTATTCCGTTGTTTTTAAAATGTCCCTGTTTTAATTTCCACCTAACACTTTTTCCCCTTTGTTCTGTCTCACTACTCCAACTGCTACAAACTGAGTACAAAGTGCAGGAATAGTTTGTATTCACCTAACTCTGTGTAAGGATAGGATTGGGGGCAAAGTATTGAGTTTACCTGTAAACTTAGACAAAAATACACTACTGCAGCCTCTCCTGGTTTTTATGTTTCTCTTATTAATATTTTTGTCATTTCAACCATCATCACAATGAGTTATCTGAGTACAAACTATTTTTATACTTTCAACTGAGTATGCAGCAGTTGAAATAATTTGAGGATGAAGGACAAAAGTAGAAGGAATGAAACACTGGGACATTTTAAAAACTGGTAAAAAATTAGATGACAGAAGATCAATAGAGACTATCCAAGCCAGGACAGCTGTAAGATATATACCACAAGCATTTCCCAACTGAGGAAATTATTAGGTAGAGTGAATCGAGCAATGTGGACTGCTACTAAAATAAATCCAAAATACCAGCTAATTGTTTGCATTGTAATCAGCTGTATTTTACTGCTATATCTGGCTCATTTGCCAAAATAATTTGTTTGGTCTTAACTGGGGTTGTGCATTTGTTTTGTTTTTTTATTATTTTCATGTCAGAAGCGAATTGAGTTGCTTCTGCAAGTTGCAAGTTGCTTCTGGTGTGAGGGAATTGCCCGTCTACAGAGATGTTGCCAAGGGGATGCCCAGATGTGTTACCATCCTGTGGGAGGTTTCTCTCATGTCCCCACATGGGAAGCTAGGGCTGACAGACAGGAGCTCATCCTGTCTCGCAGATTCGAACCGCTGACCTTCAGGTCAGCAGTTCAGCTGGCACAAGGGTTTAACCTATTGCGCCACCACAGCTCCATGGCACTTGTTGTTCTATCTGAAATAGGGTAACATCTAGGCCAGATCCATCCCCAAGCTCTGAAGCATTCTGTTGTTTCTTTTCTCAGGATGGCTGTTCAGACTCCAAGTAATCAATACAGTGCTATTGACAAATTGGGTGAGTATAGCCCCTGCTATGATCAGTATGTGGGATTCCTCATAATACCAGTACATCTATTTGTTAAAAGGCATGATGAAATGTTTCATCAAATACAAACATGTACACTGCTGGTGCTACAACATTCCTCATTTCTTCTCTGGAGACTGCTGATAATGTGGTTTCATCCTTCTTTTATTACTTGCCTATGAATCCTTCCAGATTTTCTGGGTTTCTTCCCCAAGATTCTGATCATGTCCTGACAGAGAGCCAAAACCCCTTAGTACTCAGAACATGTCCTCTGAAATATCTATTTCTAATTATGGCTCCACGCCCCTGCATTTGGAATATCTAACATTCACATTTGGCACTCAACATTTGATAACTGGCCATCTGATACTGATGGTGCTCTTTAATTGTTAATGTGTAATGTATGTAAGACAGTCAGTCTTCTGTATTGATGGATTCTGCATCTACAGCTTGAAAAATATTTTAAAGGGCTGCATTGGATATAATGTACCATGAATTTTGTATTCATGGGAGATCATGGAATCAAACTCTAGTAACTACTGAGAGCCCACTGTATTCAGCAACACTGATAACTGGGGGCTCTTCCAGACAGATCCTATATCCCAGGATCTGATCCCAGGTTTTCTGCTTTAAACTGGATTATATGAGTCTGCATTGCCAGATAATCTGGGATAAACAGAAAATCTGTGATCAGATCCTGGGATATAGGGCCTGTCTGGAAGGGCCCTGGGGCACAATGGTATGGCTTTCAACTATTTACTTCAGGTAAACTTTTTCATCATTTCAGCCTATGATCATACCTCATTAAGACCCTCTTGAGTATGTTTTAGGATTCACACTCAGCAGTACCTCACCATTATGTATTGGAAATTGTGAGTGTTCCTTCCTATGTGGACACCGTGGTTGGCAAATTGATTGGGAAGGACCCTTCTCCACAATCACTGAGGACCTGCAAGTAATGTGTGCAAGAAACTGAAATGTGCCCTCAAACACTTTGGAAAACTCCTGGGATCTCATATGTGTTAACTGATATAGATTTCATTTAATATTTGGAAAATGGCATGTAATAGCACTTAGTGGTGATTAAAATTTGGTTATTTTTAAGGAGCGGTTATTAGTATCTGACCATTGAGATGTGATGCAATTTCATATTGAAAATGTGCCAAAAATAGAAACAATCAGGAGATAGAAACAAATTTAAAGCATGAAAAAATTATGATAAAAAATCAAAAAATGAAAGCAAATTCAAATTTAAACTTTGAAAATTCTCATTCCTGGAAAAATTGGCTGATGTAGATTATTTGTAAATGTCTGTTTTAGCATGAGCCTGATTCTGTCCTAAGAGTCTCTGGTAGACTTGCATATTGGCCTACCAGTTAACTGTATGTTTCTAATTTTAATATGAATAGGTGAATTCCAAGGCCGCCACTTCTTGTGCCCTTTGTTACCTCTTCAGTTATGTATAAAATTACCCAAACAGGACAGAGGGATGTGCTAAACATATTTCCAAAATTACATTCCTTTGTAAAGTTGCTGGAAAATGTTCCCTCACTGCAATCCAGTGCATCTTTCTCTTTCCTGAGATAAGAAGTGTTGGAGAACCTTTGCCCTTTCAGAGGCCATTGGGTTTCAGTTCCCATCACCTTACTATCCAATTCCCATCATCCTCCAGTATGGCCAGTAGTGAGGGATGATGGGAGGAGCTATCCATCAACACTGAGTGAGTGGAAGATCCTCATCCTTGCTCATCCATTCCATCTGAACTTTGATGGAATGAGGACATCAGTCAGTGTGTGAAATGTCTCCCTGTCAGGTAACTGTGTTTCTTTAAGTTAGATCTTACTCTTGCCCTCAGCAAATCTACATTAATCTTTTGATTGATGCAAGGGACTGTTGGCCTTCTGACTCTGGGGTGTATCTGTCTGGTTTGCTTGGAAGATTCCTCTGATCTCCTCTTCTTTCTCAAATCATTCTGGGGAGCCAGTATGGAACTCTTCTCTGAATCCTTCCTTCTCTGATCTCTTAACCTAGATTTCTAAACCCATCCATTGCTTATGCAGCTGGGCTCCTAACTCAGGGAGCACCACTACCATCCCACAACGGGACTGCGGGGACTGCCTTTGCCACCAACAGCTCACTGAAGAGGCCCTTGCTGATCAAAACCATTGAGACCAAGGATGGGAAGGTCCTTTCTGAGGCCAGTCACCTCTCAGAGATGTAGCTGTGAGTGGAGTAAGCCAAAAAGAGCAGCTGGATTTGCAGGCTTCAGAATAAATTGCTATTTTAAAACCTCTGGCTCTTGATGATGACTTTGCCTACATATCTCAGCCTTCTTTTACTACCTGGTATCTCCCCAATCTATCACAGATGGCCCAGCAGGATGATGCAGCTTGTGCTTTCCTCATAACATTTCATGTGGGAACATAAAGGAATGTTTCCTTCTCAGCATTGTTTCCAACTTGAGTTCTAATAGAAGCACTATGTGCTGAGTCCCTGGTTTCCCAGACACTTTCTTCCTCACATGCCTGTGCGTCATAGGTTTCTTCTGTCTGTTTTGAAGTGGGAGGTTTTGACCTCTCCAGATAACATGTATGAGGGGTTGTGCCAAGTACGCACATTCTTAGACTGCAGGCAGATGAAAATCTCAAGTTTTTAAAAGATGGGATTCGAGCCACATGGAGAGGGTCTGGAGAATATCGTCAGAAGTGGTTGAAGGGTTCTATCTACACAGGGAAAGCAGCAATAATCCCCAGTAGCTGCTGAAATGGTAGCATAGGGAGAAGTCTAGCTCAACAGTCAATATCAATTCTCTTTGCTAGTCACTTAAGGCACTTCTATACGTTACATTTATATTAGGTTTCTAATAAGCATATTCACTTTCTGGGAAATGCAAACTGTCTGGAGTTTTTATGTGGAGAGTAATTCAATTATTCATTTCCAGATTCAGTCACAGAACTACAACTCCTAGAGTTCTGTGAATGGAAAATGGCTGCAAAACCACTACAAGACTATAATAAAAATATGCCCTTAGTCTGCTGGCATCAGTGAAAGGAGAATCAAATGGGTCTACATTGCTTTAGGAGACTAGCCTTGGTTTACTGAAGAACATTATTAATGAAATCAGGCTGCCTCTACAGAAGAGATAGGAAACTGGGGGCCCATCTACACTGCATTATATGGCAGTGTAAATGGGACCCATGTCCCCTCCAGATGTCCTGGAGTAAAACTTCCAGTAAATACATCCAACACAGAAAATGCCCAGATCTTATGATAATTGTAATCCAAAACATCTGGAGAACACCAGATTGTTCATCTGTGCTCTGACTCAGTTTCCTCTACTATGTCTCATTTCATTTCACATCAGTTTTGAGGCAAAATATAGAAGAGACAGGAAGATGGGTTATCTTTGTAATACAATCTCAACAGGGTGAAATCAAAAATCTCCAGGACATCACACTACATGCTTGCAGATGGAATAAGTGAGAACTCTTTTCTTGAACACTGAATAAGACTCAGTTGTTTTCTTATCCAGGCGAGCACCGGGCATACAACCTTCTCCTCCGGTTTCAAGGCACATTACGAAAGCACTCACCCAAAACTCTGAAATTGGAATTAGGAATTCAGTTGCCATTCTCTCCAAATGTGCCAAAATACAAAACTCTGACAACAACAATGGGAATAATCTTAGAATGCATCTATTCTGTAGATCTAAAGCAGCTTGACACCAGTTTAACTCCAACAACAACAACAACAACAACAACAATTTATTTGTACCCAGCCATCATCTCCCTGAAGGGACTCAGGGCAGCTAACAAATAAAAACAATTACTGGTACATAGACATCAAAGCAATAAAAACATGAACTCAATACTATCTAATCCTCGGACTTGTATTTTTACAAGGCCTTTAGCCTCCTCTGTCAAAAAGTTCTGGAGATTTACCAAATTACAACTCCCAGGATTCCATCGCATTGAGCCATGGCAGTTAATCTGGTGTCAAACTACACTAATTTTGCAGTGTAGATCCATCCACAGCCTAAAGAATTCAAAGTGGAAGTAGTCTCTTATAGAAAAGACCCAGAATAATTTCCTTCTCTTTTCCAGGCAAAGGTGTTGACACCATTAGATAGTGAAGAGCCTCTAGCATCACACTGAAAACAGCAGAAGGAAGGTAACTTGAACATGGTCTTGTTATCCAAGCTTAATGGTCACTCCTCCCATCCCGCCCACCCACAAACACACATTTTATGCTAGTCTAGACATGATATCATAAAGACTTTCTATATACTTTTGTGCTTACTTACTGGAGCCTACTGGCAATTAGGGTCAACAAAAGAGTCAAGACCTCCTGCTTCAATTTCCTTTGGCAGCACTTTAGGTTCTTTACCTCTAGTCATAAACTTCTTCCAGTCCTCATTTCCTTCCTCAAGCTGTTGCAACATCTCAGAAGCCAAGAGTCATTCATTGACTGGGTATCTCATGTCACTCCATGTTGTTTCCAAACGGGATCAGAACTTTCCCCCCTGTGCCCTTTCACACCAAAATTGCAGCACCCAGACCCCACTCTAATGCCTGGATCTCGTGGAATCCTGGGATTTGTGATCTGGCAGAGGAACCAGAGTAGCTGCCTGCTGGAATTCTTAAGATCCCTAAACTGCAAATCCCAGGCATCAAGGATCTTTCTATAATAGTACAGTGTGGATACAGACCTTGCCTGTTTACAGGTCATTACAAGGCAACGCACTGGCAAAGTTGGTAAGTTTAGTTAACACATGAGCATTAATTGTTACTTTTAAAATATTACTTACTAAGGTGATCCCTCATAGTCCGAGGATGATGGTCCTCCAAGTGTAATGTCTTGGCAGTGGGTTTGTAGGTGGCTGTGGAACCCTACTCTTGTTCCGCATGTTCTCCCACTGTGAAGACATTGGTTTCCAGGTGGAAGGTGGTTCTGGTCAGGATTGGCTTGACACACCTTCCTCTTGGCACATTTCTCCCTTTCGCCCTCCAATCGTGCCTCTTCAAATTCTGCAGCACTGCTGGTCACAGCTGACCTCCAGTTAGAGCACTCCGGATAGTCACAATGTGTTAGTAAGGTGTCACCAATGGAAAGTTCTTGTTTTGAACTAAAATAAACAAATGGCCGGAATGACACTTTAAATTATCCTCAAAATAACAAGTAAACATGGTCTATCTATATATCAAAGTCAAAGTATGTGTGTGTGTATGTATATACACACACACACATATATATCTGTTTGTACCACAAAGGCTATTGCTAGGTGGAGTGTTCCTCTGTCATGTCATTGGGGAAGAAAGGGGATATGTATGAGAAGAAGCGAGAAAGGAAGGAAAGAGCCACAAAGAGAGGAAACAAAAAGAAGGAAAGAAAGAAAGAAAGAGAAGGGAAAGGGGAGAGAGGGGGGGGGGAGAGAAAGAGAAAGGAGATAAAGAAAGAAGGAAGAGAAAGGAAAGAGGGCATGGTATGAAGAGAGGGAAAGAGAAAGAAGGGATGCAAGTAGGGGGGCAACACCCTCTGACACCTGGGCAAAACTTGGAATGTATGCTAGCTTGTTATATATAATGAAAACATTCACATTAATGGTGAAATACACAAAAATGTTGTTATATCCTTGTGATCACAAAAAGTAAAATGTAAAGTTATAGTGCAAAGAGCAGCTGGAGATGACAGAGGAGTGATGCAGCAGGAGAGATGGGATATATAGAAAGTGTGGGAGAAAGAGAAAAGAGGAGTTAGAATGAAAGGAAGAGAGAGGGAAGGAAAGAACAAAAGAGGTGTGGGTGGGAGAATAATAATAACAATAGTAATAAAACTTTATTAGGTTTCTGCCCTTTCTCCCCAGAGGGACTCAGAGCGGATTCCAATATACAAAAGCAAACATTCAATGCCACCATTCAATGCAAAGAATACGATCTTGCCCAAATCCACATTTGCCTTACCAATGCTGGAAAAGGTTTATTATTCATTTATGTGCAGTCAAATTTCCCATATTTAGGGAAATCTCAGAGTTCAGTACACTCAAAATGCAATGAACAAACGTCATTGTAGAAAAACCATCTTCATGCTCAAGATGTCTCCAGAAAGGACCTTTTATCCATGGCTAGAGGTGCTTTCCTTGGCATTTAGCCTAAAGCTTCTGAGAAACCCAACTATGTAACAGCTTCCTCTTACCATTTATTTGACAAGGGGTAGCTTTTTATAACAGAATCATTGATTTCTTGTGAAAAAACTACATCCCAGAATTGCATCATTATCATAAAAGGAAGAAACGCAAATGTTTTGCATCAAAGAGCTTACTACTATATTGGGTTGCTGTGAGTTTTGCGGGCTGTATGGCCATGTTCCAGAAGCATTCTCTCCTGACATTTTGCCCACATCTATGACAGGCATAATCAGAGGCTGTAATCTACACAATTTGAAATCACAAAATCATGGAAAAGATTGAAAGAGATTTCATTTTCAAGCTGATTGGACCACACATAGGGAATTGCTCTTGAAGAAAATCTGACTGTAGAATCCAAATGGTTAGAAGGGAATTCAAGACATAGTTTGACATAGTTTGGTTTCCCTTTATTTCGTCAGTACCTGAACAAGAATCAGTGCAGTCCACCATAATCACATCAGCACTTATTGGGCGGGAGAGCAGGGGAGTCTCATCCCTGCAAAACAATTATGCTACTAAAGAGTTACTGTGTAATCGTTTTTGAGTTCCATTTAAAACCATTGTTTGCATTGCTTGGTTGACAATTGTTTTGTCTTTCTTTTTTTCTTTTCTTTTCTTCTTGGTTTGCATTGATTTGTCATAAATAATAAAAAAATAAAACCACATTTTATCATTTAGTTTTAGTACCATTAATTGCTTCTCTGCAAAATACTGCTGGGCCAGCTTTTAAGCCAGCCATGGCACACTAAACCCATCTCTGAAAAGAAAGAAAATCCAATAAAGTTCCAATAAGGGGGGGGGGGGGGACACAAGTAAATGATACAGGCTGAGTGTTTTCTGGAAGCCACCCAGCTGAGTAGGTTAATTTGCATTCTGTGTTTCATGAAATTGCCTCACATTAGAGCTCAATTTAAATCCTGCCTAGGTAGTTGCTCTACTGAGTAGAAAACAGCACTCTTTCTAAAGAGTCAGTAATTGGTTAGTCTGGAGGTTTCGCTGAAGCAGTATGTTTTTAGGCAAGAGTCCCTGGGTGGAGCTACACTATAGAATTAATTCAGTTTTGAAGCCATTGATGTGGCTTAATGCAACGGAATCCGGTGAACTCTAGTTTTGCAAGGCCTTTAGCTTTCTCTGCCAAATAGTATTGGTGCCTAAGCATAGTACAACTCTAATGATTCCATAGTATTGAACCATGACAGTGAGTGATCTCAGACTGCATTACTTCTACAGCAGCGTTACTCAACCTGGGGGTTGGGACCCCGGGGGGGGGGGGGGTGTGGGGGGGTGTCAGAGGATTTGCCAATGATCATCGGAAAGCACAGTATTTTCTGTTGGTCATGAGGGTTCTGTGTGAGAAGTTTGGCCCAATTCTATCATTGTTGGGATTCAGAATGCTGTTTGATTGCAGGTGAACTATAAATCCCAACAATTACAACTCACAAATGTTAAGTCTATTTCCCCCAGACTCCACCAGTGTTCACATTGGGGCACTTTGGGTATTTGTGCAAAGTTTGGCCCAGATCCAGCATTGTATGAGAACACAGTGCTCTCTGGATGTAGTTGAACTACAACTCTAAAACGCAAGGTCAATGCCCACCAAAAGCTTCCAGTATTTTCTGTTGGTCATGGGAGATCTGTGTGCCAAGTTTGGTTCAATTCCATCATCATGGAGTTCAGAATGCCCTTTGATTGCAGGTTAACTATAAATGATAGCAACTACAACTCCTAAATGATAAAACCAACCAGAGCAGTATTCAAATTTGGGCATATTGAGCATTTGTACCAAATTTGGTCCAGTGAATGAAAATACATCCTGCATATCAGATATTTACATTATGACTCATAAAAATAGCAAAATTACAATTATGAAGTAGCAAAAAATTAATTTTTGGTTGGGGGTCACCGCAACATGAGAAACTGTATTAAGGGGTCACGACATTAGGAAGGATGAGAAACACTGTTCTACAGTGTCACTGTCTTCAAACAGCTTTCCACCTTTCTCAGGCATCTTGCCTGAACGTTGCACCTTCTCCAGCATAGCCAAGGGCCACTAGGAGGCAGTTGTGCCCCAAAGGAACTAGAACAGGAACTTAGGAACAGGAACAGGGGTGTGACTATACAATGATGTGGGAGGGAGGGGGACAATCCTTCTCTGTGGTCTGGCTTTCTTTGATAGCAGTCTCAAAAATCTGCCTGCTCCTCGGGAGCGGACTTGTCTCTTGGGTTCCTCTTGTGATAGACATGGGGTCGCTACATCCCTTTAGCCATTGAAGATGAGCCAAGAAGACTGACAGAGTCTCCTTTTTGAACCACAGTTTCCACTTCTGTGGGAAGGAAGCGGTGTCCACAGGAACTCTGCTTCTGCTCCGAGGAGGCAGATTAACCCACAAAAGGTTAGTCCAGTTTCTGGTTGCAATTTTGAAAGAGGGACGGAAGGAAAAACTCATCTGGTTCAGAGATGTATTACTCAGTAAAGGTCATTCATACCAGTGTGTGGGCATGAACTTTACAACACAACGAGTTGCATGTATATTGAGATATAAATCTCCCTGAGTTTCATGGAGCTGGGTTGTTGTAGATTTTTCAGGCTGTATGGCCATGTTCTAGAAGCATTCTCTCCTGACATGTCACCTGCATCTGTGGCAGGCATCCTCATGGAGGATGAAGCTTCTTCCTGCAGGTAACCGGGTAAAGGATTGCAGCTAAACTTGCTTTGCTGCAAACAAACTACACTTTTCCTCTCTTGGCAGTGAAAGATGTGAAGGATAATCTGTTCAAGGGATGCCAAAGACAAATAGCAATGGCTGCTGGGAGATTCTAGATGTCTCATATTTAGTGCTGCATGGGTCTCCATGCAGGCACCATCATTTGGCCTTAGAAATACAACTGCTAAGACCTAAAATCGAGAAGGGCAGTGTTATATAGGTAAGACTGAAGTCCTGTATGTATGCATACAAGAGTAAGTCATGTTGCACCCAAGATACTCATTTCTCCATAAATAGATTTTTACTGCATCATGTGTATATTTTACAAGTATCACAGTTACTTGCACCCCCAGTGATGCAATGGGTTAAACCCTTGTGCCAGCAGGACTGAAGACTGACAGGTCAGAGGTTCAAATCCAGGGAGAGCACAGATGAGCTCCCTCGTTCAGCTCCAGCTCCCATGCAGGGACATGAGCAAAGCCTCCCACAAAGATGATAAAACATCAAAAACATCCAGGCATCTCCTGGGCAATATCCTTGCAAACAGCCAATTCTCTCACATCAGAAGCTACTTGCAGTTTCTCAAGCCGCTCCTGACACAAAAATAACAGTTACCTGCAAGTAGATACTTTGATATTATGTGATGAATAGCATCCAAGTTAATTAATTTAACAATAACAATAATCAGTTCCTAACTTATTTAAAATGCTATTTGAAATCTTCTAGTTTTATGGTCTTTTCTTATCAGTCCTAAAGACTTTATTTCTGAAGAAAAGCAGCCAAAATTAATTACTAGAGTAAAGCATTCTTGTAATATAATTACTCATTGTAATGCATAATAGCATTGGGTTATTTTTTAAAACACTATAAGATGCATCGGATCAAAAGATGAACTTTCCAAACTCTGGCATTGTTTAGTAGTTCTTTCTCATCCACAGTTTCACATTCTGTAGTTTCAGTTACCAGTAGTCATCTGTGGTCCAAAAATATTAAAAGGAAAAATTCAGAAGTAAGCTATTCATAATTTTAATTGTACACTGTTTTCTCATATTTTTATTACAGCATACTATTCTATCATTAATTGTTGTTATTAATCTCTTATGATAGCTTGTAAATAAAGAACAACATTCAAAACAGGGAAATTCCAGACAAGAAACAATCAGGGCCAGCTAGTCACCTCCCAACAAAGGATTCCCCCATGCAGTAAGCAGTCAGGCCTGGAAACTGCAAAGACATTTAATGCTAATCAAGGTGGCCAATTGAAACATTCACACCTGCCTCAAAGAGACAAGAGTTCTTTCTCCCATCCTGGACCTTCCACAGATATATAAACCTCACTTGCCTAGTTTCCAACAGACCTCACAACCTCTGAGGATGCCTGCTATAGATGCAGGTGAAATGTCAGGAGAGAATGCTTCTAGAACATGGCCATACAGCCTGGATAACTCAAAGCAATCCAGATAGCTAATTGTTCAGAAACCCAGGTTGAGCATTCCTCATCTGGAATTCCAAAATCTAAAATTCTGCAAAATCCAAAATGTCCACATGCATAACTGAGATAGTGAAACGTTGCTTTCTGATAAATTCATTGTACACAAATTTTGTTTCACACACAAAATTATTTAAAGTATTGTATACAATTGCCTTCAAGCTATATGTGCATAATGAGAAATCTTGAAGATGGGACCCGAGTCTAAAAATAAAATTCATATCTATTTCATGTGTAAATAAAACAGAAAAAAAATTGTTTTTAGACTCAGATCCCATCTTCAAAAATGTTCATAATTCATATGCATCCGAACATCAAAAGTCTGCATGAATACACAAATTTCAAAATCCAAACAAACCAGAATACATAATGCTTCTGGTCCTAAACATTTCAAATAAACTATGCTCAGTCTGTATAATATTTATATAGATCCAGGGAATGTACACTCAGATGGAGGCAAGAATGGTCATACAAATTATTCCCCCGTGTCCATTCCTCCTGGTACAACCAAACCCTTCATGCAACTAGATTCAAGGTGGAAACAAAGCGGACCTCCATATGTCGTTAGACTGCAGCTCCCAGCATTCCTCACCACCAGCTATTATAACCAATGTTATTAGGACCTCCAGTCCAGCAAGATTTGGTGGATAAACTGTGCCAGATTACAAGAACTGCACACCGTTCAATTGACTTTCTTATCTTATCTGTTATCACATTGTTATCTGTTTTGAAGTTCACTATGCAGATTCCAAATCTGAGGTTAGCTATGAAATCAGGTCTTTTAGGAATAAAAGTTTCTCTCCTTTTCTCTTTCATCAGACATTATCTCTCTTAGCCTGAGAAAGAAGTCACCAATCATTCCTAGCATTAATTAATAATAGCATTTTAATCTAACTTTCCCTCATTTTCCCTTCTCTTTACCCAAGTGACTCTTACACATTAAACTCTTGCTTATTGCCTGCAGCTTCTGGCCAATACACTAAGGAGACTACCTACACAACTGATAATAATGTCAGCAAGCAATAACAACATAATGGGGAAATGCAAGTAGTTAGCACAGCGGTTCTCAACCTGTGGATTGCCAGGCGTTTTGGCCGACGACTCCCAGAAATCCGAGCCAGTTTACCAACTGTTGGGAGTTGAAATCCCAAACATCTGGGGACCCACAGGTTGAGAACCACTGGGTTAGCACATTAATTACTGGTTTCATTGACAAGATAGAGCCCCCGGTGGCGCAGTGGGTTAAACCCCTGTGCCGGCAGGACTGAAGACCGACAGGTCGCAGGTTCGAATCCAGGGAGAGACGGATGAGCTCCCTCTATCAGCTCCAGCTCCTCATGCGGGGACATGAGAGAAGCCTCCCACAAGGATGATAAAACATCAAATCATCCGGACGTCCCCTGGGCAACGTCCTTGCAGATGGCCAATTCTCTCACACCAGAAGCGACTTGCAGTTTCTCAGGTCACTCCTGACATGACAAAAAAAATTTTGACAAGATGGTTCCCTTTGTATCTTGCCAAATGAAATTTATCTGACCACAATAATTTCCAAACTGTGTTAGCTGAGCCATGCACAGCAGACTATCAAACGTTTATTTTTTAAACTATTTTAAAAAAATTTCCTCTCCTGTCACAGAAATGCATTTTATTCCTTCAATTCCTCATCCTCTATCTTATTGTAAACGCTGTTTTCCTTCTTGCTGATAATGATTCTAACAAAAAATATCTAGGGGTACAAATGTTCCCTAGGCTACTATTCTCTTTTCACGTAGACAAAGCCCCCCCCCCCCAAATTCATAAAAGACTAATATTTGGAGAGGCGTCTCCTCAGTATGGAAGATGTATTTCTCTAGCACGGATAGTCCCCAGAACGCCTTCTATCCACCTTGTTTTCTACCTCTTGAGAAAGGCTGAAGGGCCCCTTGGTGGGAAAGGCTTCTGCTACCAATTAGGTTGCTGCAATAACTTAATTGATTCCTGTTTTACAGAGCCAGATGGTTAACAGTCTCCCTTGAAATGTCTATTACATCTTCTTTAAGAGATCAGAAAAAGAACGCATTCCTGCTCTTTTTTGGTGGCTCTTATCTGTAGAGTAATAACAACCACAGGCATTGACACACTTATACTTTTCTTCCTCAGTGCCTTCCTCCCATACACACATGCACACACAATAAAAGTGTAACAGCTTTTCTTTTTGGTTAGGTTTCCAGTTATCATTGGCCACCAATTGGCCTATTGTCTTATTATGCCTAAAGAGATGGCTCCTAGCAACACCAGGCAATAGGCACTGTGGCTATTTGGTTTTTCCTTCCATAATGTATTAAAAAGAGAGAGAAAGAAAGAAGCAGTAGAAAAACATGGGAGTCTTATAAATGCAAAAGCCTATCTCCAAATAAAAGTCCATGACAGCAACAACTTCATGCTTGTTTGTAGTCTGGACCATTGTGCAATACAAGATGTGATATATCACTCAGAGGACTAATCATCAACCATCCCTAGTCTATGGAATGACTTGGTGGAAGAGATTTGACAGCTGAACAAGCTATTCAAACTTAAAATGATCAAGGGTCTGGAGAACAAGCTCTATGAGGAACGGCTTAAAGAGCTAGGCATGTTTAGCCTGAAGAAGAGAAGGCTGAGAGGAAACATGATAGCCATATATAAATATGTGAGAGGAAGTCATAGGGAGGAGGAAACAGGCTTGATTTCTGCTGTCCGGGAGACTAGGACACAGAACAATGGCTTCAAACTACAAGGAAGGAGATTCCATCTGAACATTAGGGAGAACTTCCTCACTGTGAGAGCTGTTCAGCAGTGGAACTCTCTGCCCTGGAGTGTGGTGGAGGCTCTTCTTTGGAGGCTTTTAAACAGAGGCTGGATGGCCATCTGTCAGGGGTGATTTGAATGCAATATTCCTTCTTCTTGGCAGGGGATTGGACTGGATGGCCCATGAGGTCTCTTCCAACTCTATGATTCTATGAAAACAGAATTAAAAACCTATCTGAACTATGAATTTTAAATTGGCATTTCATTGGTATGGGTTATCTTAATGTGTTTTAATCTTACATTTATAACTTTTAATATATATCTTTTAATGTTTTTAAATGTTTTAATCTATATATTTTACCTATGTTGTACCCCACCTTGAGCTTTGAGGAAAGGTGGATAAGAAATTATTATTATTATTATTATTATTATTATTATTATTCCATCAGCTGCAATGATTCATCCATATCAGAATTTCAATAATAACTAACACATTCAACAATGTTAGTTGTGTCCTTGTACTTGCTGCAGCCACCATCATTTGGAAACGAACTGTAATTGTGGAGCTGATTTTCTATGATTTGGTTGAACAATAACACTGGATATTGTGTGTGGTTTCTTTTAGGACAAACACTTTTAAAAGCACAGATTATGGCGGAATTCAACTCAAATGACACACAGGAGCTTATCATAATTTACCTCTCAAAGCCCTTCTCAGCCTTCATCATTTTAACCAATGTCTTCATCATCCTTGGAATCCTCTTCAATCGCAAGCTCCATGGGACCACCAACCGGTTCTTCCTGAGCCTACTGTTTGCTGATCTTCTGGCTGGAGCTGCCCTTCCCTGTATCCCTCAGATGTCCTTCAAAATGGAATTGGAATACCACACTTGCTTTTTAAAACATGTGGTGCCCAATTTCCTCTTCCTCTCTTTCTTAGCCAATCTGCTGGTGGTACACTATGTCAAGTATGTGTGTATCATGCACCCACTACACTACCAAAGTTTCTGGGTGCATCGCTGGGCTGGGCTTTACATAGTCCTTGCCTGGACTGCTCCTTTGATCTTTGCAGCCCTACCACTGGCTTGGTACCAGTGGAAGTCAAATGAAAACTGCTCCTTCCATCTTGTCTTTCCCATGCCTTATCTCTACGTGGAAACGTATGGTTTCCTCATTCCATCCATCCTTGCCATGGCCTTTATGTGTGTCCGGGTCCTATGTGTTGCCCAAAGACATCTGAAGAACATTACAAAGCTCCTCCATTCAGTGACTCAGAGCCAGGCCCCTTCAGAACTGGAGCAGCAACTGGAACTGAGAAATGCTAAGAGCATTGCCAGCGTGTCTCTCATCTTCTTGGTCTGCTGGGTGCCATACATTGTTTGCTTAAACATCTCACTGCTATCTTTGAAGCATAGCATCAGTCCACTGGTTCTCACTGTTGTTACTTGCGTCGGCACTGGTAGTGCTGCTGCAGTGCCCATCATCCTTAGTCTTGGCAACCAGCAGTACACACAATTTTGGAGGGACTTGGCCACCAAAGTCTGTGCAGGCTGCTGCCAGGGACAGAGGTGCAAACAGAAGCAAGCCAAGTCAAAACCAAAGTTACCACATGACAATGTTCAAATTGCAGTGGCAGACACAAGTAGAGCGCAAGCTGATAACCTTCAGTACAAAGTCATTACCTGAGTCCCTTCAGGGAGAGAGGGCGAGTTAAAAATAAACTATTATTATTATTATTATTATTATTATTATCCCACCAGCAGCAAGAAAGAAACAGGAGAAACAGGAAAATAGAGATTTGAGGTTGGGGAGGGGGGGCTTGATATTCTGAGGAATGATCTCTACTTCCTGTGACCTTGTTGTTGCTGTGTGCTTGCAAATAATTTCCATCTTACAACAACCCTAAGTCAAGCTGTCAAAGCATTTTCTTACCAAGACTGTGACATGCCCAAAGTTACCTAGTGGATTTCCAAGACCAAGGAGGGATTCAAACCCTGGTCTCCAGAGCTGCAGTCCATGTTCATACTGCTAACAACAAAAGGGCTTCAATACCCTAAAAGCACTAAATGCTATCAGATCTTGGAAAATCAGTAGAGTTAGTTCTGGATAATATGTGACTGAGAGATGCCAATGAATATGCTTTAACGTAGACTATATTTCAGAGAAAGGAACTGGCAAAACCACACCTGAGCATTCATCATCAAACAAACAACAAGTGATTGTCCTGCCAGGTCTGATTTTTTTTCCTGATTGCTGACACTGTGGGTTACCTCTGGCTTTTAACTGATTTTTTCCCTATTGTTGAATGTGCTTTATTGTGAACCATGTGGAGATTTTTTAAAAAGTAAGATAAAGGTAAAAGTTTTCCCCTGACATTAAGTCCAGTAGTGTCAAAGTCTGGGGGTTGGTGCTCATCTCAATTTCTAAGTTGAAAAGTCGGCATTGTCCGTAGACACCTCCAAGGTCATGTGGCCAGCATGACTGCATGGAGCAGCATTACCTTTCCGCTGGAGCGGTACCTATTGATCTACTCACATTTGCATGTTTGTGAACTGCTAGTTTGGCAGAAGCTGGGGCTAACAGCAGGAGCTCACGCCATTCCCCATATTTCCTTTCCGCTGGAGCGGTACCTATTGATCTACTCACATTTGCATGTTTGTGAACTGCTAGTTTGGCAGAAGCTGGGGCTAACAGCAGGAGCTCACGCCATTCCCCATATTTGAACCTGTGACCTTTCGGTTAACATTTTAAAAATAAAATAATATTTTTCAAGATTAATTAAAAAAGCAAACAAAGTAGATCTTTCAACGTATTTTTTCTATATACCCAATGGCTTAAAGATACATTTTTATATCTGGTTGGAATCCCTACAATATGAACATCCTGGGAATTAATATTACTTTGGTGCTGAATAGTCACTAATGTAACATATGAAATAGATACGAATTTTATTTTTAGACTTGGGTCCCCTCTTCAAGATTTCTCACTATGCACATATAGCTTGAAGGCCATTTTATACAATGCTTTAAATAAGTGTGTGAAACAAAATCTGTGTACAATGAACAAGCATGTTCCCTCTTCCTTATGACATCCTTTTAACATCCTGAATTAACACCAAGTTTTGAATTTGGTTTTGCCATCTTTCCTTTCTGTAAAAGGAAGCTGACTGATAAGAACAGCAGATGTGAGACCTTTCCCTGTCCTTTCCCCACTTCCTCTTCAAGAAATCAAGCAATTTAGAACAGTTCATGGGTAGCAGGACCCTATACGCGGATAACAAGATCCAACAAGCGGATAACAAGATCTGGCACCGGGCTGCAGAGACCTTGCCTGGTGAGACCCAAAACTCAAACTCAATGTTCCCTAATCAAAGATGTCTCACTAGTTGTAACAGAAAACACCAAGGTAATTTATTCAATCCAGCCAGAAAGGATGACAGCCAGTGGTAAGCCACTCAAAGAAGCTGACATACATGGTACAAATAAAACACACATTTTATACAGTCCTGTCTTTTGTTTTTCGCACACATGTCCAGCTGGGACTGGCTTCACGCTGATTGGCGGAGAGCAGTTCTGATGTCACAAGCACCTGGGAGGATTACCTCAACGTGGAGGGGTGGCGATACCCGGCAGCCAATCAGAAAGCTTTCCCCACTTCTGATGCAGATTTTGGCTCTCCAATTGCAGGCAGGGGGTGGGATAGACAGGGGGAAAAAAGGAGAATATAGTTTTATGAATAGATTACAGTGTCTCAACCTCGAGACTAACAAAACAGGGCCATCAGGTCCCTGAGGATTATGGTTTTGGCATGAATGGCCCATCAGGTGGATCTGGCGCACATGGCAGCTGTGTCCATTGTTGACCTCACAATCATGCTGTCCAAAGTGATGGGATTAAGGAATCTGTTCCTGAGAAAGGGGGAATGGCATTCAGGAAAAACAGTGCCAGGACTTCCCAAACTCCAGGAAGGGTGCCAAGTTATTATGAGTTTTATGTCCATATGGTCACACAAAGGAAGGTTAGCTCAGTTCAGGGAATGGTCATCCTTTGTGCAATCAGTTCAACCAGGAATCAATAGAGATGGATTGATTCCAAAGGTGATGGGTGCTTGAGTCCTTTGTTGAGTTGAAAACCAAGAAGACATGTTGAAAACAGCAACCTTTTACAAGCTTCCTATATTAGTTATTTGTTATGTATATAATTCAGATTGCTTGCGATATTGTATGTGTGTGTATTGGTATGCAGTTTTCCCTTAACCCTTTTTTGTTTGAGATTGTGGGAGGGACTGCAGACCATGTGATCATATCTGGGACTTTTCAGAGACTGCAGCAGAATGCCTTAGAGAACTTACTGTTTAAACTTTCAACTGATAAGCAATGTACCTGTATGCATGAAATTTGTGAGTAAACCAAATATGTTACTTTTAACTAAGTCTACTTTATTTTTGTCTCTTTAGAGAATGATATAAAAACAAGATTTTTATTGGAAAGTAGATTTTTGGGTAGGCAACCGAAATAACACTTCTGAAGATATTTTGTGCATTGGCATGGTCTTTGTTCATAACAGTTCAAAGAGATAACCAGGTATCAGTCTAACAACTGAGAAACCTAATTTGCCTTGCATGAATACTAGTGGATATGTACCACTAAAGAGAAGATTCACTCAAATGAGATTTTAGCTCTTCTCAGGAAGATCATACTTTACAAAAGGATATAGTTTTCCAGATGGTTGTGAATGCCAAGTAATCTCCAAAAGGTCACTCTTCCAAAAGGATTTGGAGATTCCAGTTTTCCAAAAGATTATGATCTCAAAGGTCATCCTTTTCCCAAAAGGTTATGCTTTTTCCAAGAAGACACAAGGGGAATTCCAGGTCAAGGTGTGCCGGTGAAAGGTCATGAAGGTCATGGTGGTGGCTTCATGGCTCCAAAGATATTTTATGAAATCATAAAACACAAAATATTACAACACATACACACAAGGGATCCTGGTATTGCCTAATCTGCAGATACCGGGGGCATCTGGTTCTGGATGCCAGGGTCCTTAGGATATGGTTAAATAATAAATAACCTTGTCTTGAATATAAGCCAAAGAAGACTTTTTAAGCCTAAAAAAGGGGCTGAAAAATTAGGCTTATACTCACATATATATAGTAATTTTTAAACCTGCAAGCTTTCAAAACCTGCAGTGACATTTTTTCTATACAGCAGAGCGGGTGGGCATGGAAAGCAAATTGCGAGGTTTTGCAAGGGAACTCTGCTCAGTTCTGTTTTTAAACAGATTTTCAAAGTTTGCATTTCCTGGATCTAAACATAGGTCTGAACACTATTTGAGATTTTTAAGTGTTTTCTAAAATAGACTTTGAACTGGCAAAACCACCTCTGAATGTTTCTTGCTTTTAAAATCCTATTAAATTCTTGGGGTCGCGATAAGGCAAGAGGTGACTTCAAGGCACATAAACCCAGACATTATTTAGACAAATAGTGCATATGCCCAAATCAGTAGTCACTCAGTACAACATGCATAAAAGAAAATTTATGTTTGCTTACTTAACTCTGTCCTGTTTTAGGCAGGCAAGCATCCAAATGAAAAGATCACAGCTGAGAGTTTCCAGAGGAGTTCACAGTGACGCAAGAGTTGCATTTTTCTTATGTCTAGGAAGGACTGGGAAGGGCCCAAGCCTCAGTAGTAAGGCTTTGTGCGCCATTTCACTCCACAGGACCTCCTAAGAGAACCTCATGGCCTTGGTGGGAAAGGTAGAAATTCGGAGAGCCATTCCAGCAGAGCAAACCATAATATGATAGATGAATAAAGACTCTGGTCTAGTATGAGACAGATTCTTTGGCCAGCATCTGAAATCATGGCATTGGGAGATACTCCCAGGATCATTCAATCCAACCTTCCTACCATGTTGGAACACACAATCCAAGTACTCCCCAAGGATGGCCACCCAGCCTCTATTTAAAACATCCAGAGAACATGCTATAAGGCAGAATCTTCAATCACTGAACAGGTTGATGTTAAGAAATTCTTCCTAATGTTTAGTGACATCCCCTTTCCTGCCATTTGAATCCATTATCCTATGACCTGGTCTCTGGAGCAGCTGAGGACAAGCCGTCCCCGTCATCAATGACAACACATAATGACATGCGAGTGTGGAGAAGAGCAAACTACAGACCACCTGCTGCAATGCAACCTGAACCCTGCCACATGCACAATGGAGGACCTTCTTGCAGCAACACCAGAGGCACTCCAGGTGGCCAGCTACTGGTCAAAGGACATTTAATCAACTACCAAGCTTGCAAACTTTTTGTTTGTTTGTTAAAAAATGGTTAAAAATGTAATACAATTGTCTGGTTGATACTGACACAATAAATATGTGTTGTCAAAGGCTTTCATGGCTGGAACTTTGTTGCTGTGAGTTTTCTGGGCGGTATGGCCATGTTCCAGAAGCATTCTCTGCTGATGTTTCACCCACATCTATGGTAGGCATCCTCAGAGGTTGTGAGGTATACTGGAAACTAAGCAAGGGAGGTTTATATATCTGTGGAAGGTGGGAGAAAGAACTCTTATCTGCTTGAGGCAAGTGTGAATGTTGCAATTGGCCACCTTGATTAGCACTGAATGGCCTTGCAGTTCCAAAACCTGATTGCTGCTTGAGGAATCCTTTGTTGGGAAGTGTTAGCTGGCCCTGATTGTTTCTTGTCTGGAATTCCCCTGTTCTCAGTGTGTTGTTCTTTATTTACTGTCCTGATTTTAGAGGTTTTTTGTGCCTGATTGTTTACTCTCTGTTTTGCTGTTGTAATTTTTGAGTTTTTTTTAATACTGGTAGCCAGATTTTGTTCATCTTCATGGTTTCTTCCTTTCTGTTGAAATTGTCTACATGCTTGTGGATTTCAATGGCTTCTCTGTGTAGTCTGACATGGTGGTTGTGAGAGTGGTCCAGCATTTCTGTGTTCTCAAATAATATGCTGTGTCCAGGTTGGTTCATCAGGTGCTCTGCTATGGCTGACTTCTCAGGTTGAGTTAGTCTGCAGTGCCTTTCATGTTCCTTGATTCATGTCTGGGCAATGCTGCTGCGTTTGGTGATCCCTATGTAGACTTGTCCATAGCTGCATGGTATGGTAGACTCCTGCAGAAGAGAGAGGATCCCTCTTATCCTTTGAGGAATGTAGCATTTCTTGGATTTTCTTAGTGGGTCTGTAGATTGTTTGTAGGTTGTGATTCTTCATCAGCTTCCCTATGCTGATGATCCACCCAGAGGAATACTTTTCC